TTAATGCTCCCAGGCACTGTAAATACCACACGTAGTTGAACGTAGACAGAGCCCATGTCTGTTAGCCCGTGTACTGTTATACTAGTACAAGAATATAAGTATGCTGCTGTATACACTGCTTTCGTGGCATAGCTTTGCCACTTAAAACCATGCTATCCTCACAAGTGAAACAAGCAACGATTGTATAACTGCACTTAAAGCTTCTGCCAGCATAGCTGTGTCAGTTATACCTCTGTAGGCCCACAACTGACGTAACTGTTTTGTCAGAAATAGTTTAGACAGACACTAGAGCTGAAGTTTCAGAATTCTTTTAAGCTGTCCTAAGGCAGTGCCAAGAAGCAGTGTCACGTTCCCTCTGTGCTCTCGTCTCCCCTTTTCACTTTTATGCCCCTTCTCTTGTGTTTGCACAGTGTTTATGGTGAATCAGATCAGGAAATCGAGTTAAAACAAATTAACTTTCTTAATAACAGAGTTTTAACTCGGATGTTTGCCGCACAGTTAAGCGAACATTTGCACAGTCCTTCCCCCTTCTTTGTATTCGTTCTATCAGGAACAGGAGGAAAGTAGGACCTTGGCAGCCAGCTGTTAGGCTGGCTTAAGCTGTCATGGAAATGTGACCTCTTTGTGTTTTGGTAGAGTGACGTTTTAACAGCTGGCTTTTTTTGTGTGTATGTATTTAAATACCTAAAGTTTTGTTAAAACTTCTTGGAGTTAATTCAGAGATGATGTTTGCAAAATGAAAAAACAAATTTTAAAATATTTGAGATGTTTTGTGTTCTGACAGGGGGGGAAAAAAAACCTCTAAGTATTATTCTGATATGTAGACACATGTAATAAAATGAAAATTTAAAGTTGGCCTGGATTAAGACTCTTGTTAAAACACTCCATTAAAGAATAATTTTATAAAAACGCATCAAATAAGTAAAACTGTAACAAATACAAAAACTCGAGTATGAAGCTATTACTTGTCTTAACAACAGCAATAAAACCCCATGGTATTTGTATTTGCATCTCCTTAGATACTTTCAAATATGTTACGTATTGTATTGGCCGATAAGCCCAAAAAAAAAAAACCTTTGATATTTGTATGCCAAAATATATTTTGGCGTACAAAAATATACATTTTTTCTAAAATAAACATAACTAGAAAATTTGTCTGAAATACAGTAAGATGAAATCAGAATGTGAAATGTGGAAAACCTTCAAGACTGAAAGTGACAGTAGGATCAAAAAATGTGTGAGCCTTTTAAGAAAATGAATTCTTTTGCATTGACCTTCTCTTATCTAGGAGAACTGCTTTTTAATGTTTTTAGTTAGACTTAACTTCCTGTCTTCTCTGCCCTGCCCCAGGCACTTGCTTGTTTAATAGATGAGCATTGTTCTGTGCTTTCAAGGTCGGCAAGAACTCTGTCTGAGAGCGCAAACGGGATCTACTGATATCAACTGATAGTGTAGGGCATGTACTTCATAGGCACGACTGTGACTATTATGTGAGACTTCTCCTCCTCCTAACAGTCACAATCTGTTAGGGCCCTGGAGGTGCACTTGATCAATGCTTTTAAGTTGGGAGAGTCTGAAGCTATACTTCTGAGGTATCGAACTATTCCATCTCACTTTAGTAGTGCTTTAGAGTTTGTGACTGGAAAAAAATCAGCATATTTACGCAGACCTCAATGTTTTGAAGTTGGATTTGCCATTATGTTGCAGCATGGTACCCTGCACTCTGTTTTACTTCCTAGTGAAGTGATACATCCTGCCTGTTTTTTGTTTTCCAGTCTCTTGCAAAAGAGTGAGCTAACCAGATGCAATATACTCAGGATGAGCTGCAAAGGAGCAAAGGGTTAAAAAGCTAAAGTGCTGACTTGCAAACAAGGAAGGCAGGGATATAGGAAGGAGAGGCTGATGAGCTTGACTTTAGAGGTGAGCTAGGATCCTCCCTTTCTGGCATACTGGTGAAGAAGAGGGAGAAATGTCAGCTGAATAATTTGGACAGAGTTGAGAGAGTTAATGCTATTGTATAAGAAAATAAAACTGGCAAATACGACAGAGCAAAATCACTGGGAATATTTATCCACAAATCTGTGAGGAGTTGGGGTAAAACAGGATAAGAGTGAACTGTTAACTAAGTTATTAATTGAAGTAATTATTTAATGGAATAAACCTTTTTCTGAAAGGTTTGAGTTTTCTGCTCAGAACTTCCAGTTGATTCTGATTACTGAAGGCCCTTTGCAAAAAGAGTAACTTATTTACCTGGATGGAAGTCAAGCTACATGAAGCTTCAGTATATCCACATCTTGATTATGACCAAACCAATGCAGTAGTACTATTTTAAACAACTCCAATGATATTATTGTTTGCCAGTCTTCACTTTATGCGTTTTTTATGATTTTTTTTTTTTTTTCCTAACAGCTTTGGATGTCTTTAACATTGTTCTGTGAAACCTGAGGAGGGGGTGGAATCTTCTATACTTAAGTATCTCTTTTACTAAATACTTCCTGACAATGTGTTGCACTATAAAGCTTTCAGGAATAGTAATCGCCAAAATTCCTATTCTGCCATAAAGTGTCATCACGTTCTGTGTATGATTATTACGCATAAAGTCCATAGCTTTGTTTTCTCCTTCTCTCTCTCCCTTAGGTTTGAGTAACACTTGAAGTATTGTTCTTGAAAGTTAATGGATTTCATTATAATAGTCAAATCAGCTCTTTTTTCTATAACTCTAAGATATTTTCATGCCAGATTTTGTTGCAGGGTAGAATTACTGTGGTATTGAGGAGATAAAGGCTATACAGAATATAAAAACCAAGAAGAATTTTATAGGACATTAATAACTTAATGATACCATTAGATGCATTTTGCTAACATGGCATCAAACTAGGGTGAAGTATTTTTTACTTATTAAATAGTGATTGTTATAGTGTAGATGTAAGTGCAAAAATATTTTAAGAAAGTACAGTATTTTTACATTAAACTTGCGGCATTAATATTCATTTTACAGGAGGATGTGATCGATCACAGACTTAAGGCTGATAGGCTGGCTGCCATGTGTTTGGGCATTCAAAAGTACCTACTTTCCATTTGTAAACCATAGCTCTTTTAAATCTAATCAAAACTTAGCTACATTAGATAAAATCAAAAATTGTTTATTGTTAGTTTCCCTCACAGAGGAATTATACCTTACTTAAAAACTTCCGTCCAAAACAAAGATACAGAAAAAATATGTTTTTTCATTGGTGAAATTGGGAAGCAAATGGTGATAGGGAACATTGTTTTATATGCAACTCTCTTTCAGCGAAGATGGTAGACTTTGTCCTTTGTTGAGGATGCACTGGAGAAATGTTCTAAGCTTCTTCCTTAATCTCGGCTGAAATTTTAGCATGTACGTTCTTTAATGTTTTTGTCACTTTTAAAAATTTCTTTTAATGTGCAAGTCACTGGTCTTAAACATTAGATTGTTACGGAGTTCTAACAGCTAGGCCTCTTTATCTGGGAATCTTTTGTGCGTGTGTGTGGTTTTTCAGGTCTGTGGTGTATATTTGGTTTTTTTTTATTTTTATATGTATGTGCTTACATGTGTGTATATATATGCAGGTGTGTGTATATATATGATCTAGATAATTTTTTATGAATTACTTTCTGTAGAATGTATTTACTTTATGTTCTACAGAACAGTTCTAAAGAAGTGGTACTTTTATCTGGTAGCACGTATGTTTTGCTTAAGAAGGTAGATGACGAGAATCATGCTACAGGATCTGGGAATTATCGACTCTGAAATAGCAGGCTGCAGTTAATGATTTGCTGTATGGAATAGTGGCTTTTTCTTACACACAGAGTTATACAGAAATAGCCATTGTGTTTTCAGTTGCAACTCTAATTCTGCTTAAAATAAGTTTTTTTTTCTTTTGTAGAAATCCTCAGTAACATTGTAGACACTTATAACCAAAGATATTTGGTATGAGTTTTCCAGGTAGAATCTGAAGATAAAAGGTGAGAGAGACATATTTAAAAAATAATTTATTTTTACACTGTTTTAATTCAGCTACTTGTATAGGTCTAACATTCTTTAAAAGAATGTAACGTGCTGAATTGAAGTGATTAATGTTGTTAATAAACATCACTTCCTTTTTGTTCTGACCGCAAGCGATAAAAACGTTGTATGCATGTTAGTGGATGCTTAGTGCAGAGTTTGGACTATTACATTCATTTAGAGTAATTTTACTATGCAGGAATCAAAGTTCTAGCATTAAGATAATGTCATGGAGGAAGTGAGTAGTTAAAGATGAGGTTAATTCTAGACAAACCCACTCAAACCCTCTGAGCTGTATGCCATCATTGTCCAGTATTAAGTTTGTAATGTGTTTTATAGCAGTGGTTCAAATATAGGTTTCTTTATTCAGGAGGTTTTAGTGTGAATGTCCAAACCTGCTGGCTTAATCAATTAATATATACCTCCTACATTTTCTGTAAAATCTTCTAATACCTGTCCATACCTTACTGACTCTGATAATGGGAACTTTACGCTGATTGTTTGAGGTTAACTTCCTTTTCCTGGTAATTGAAAGCAGCTCTCATGTAAAGCTTAGAAAGTTTAGGTCATCATCATCTACCTTCAGTCTTTAAGAAGTGGGTTTATCTTGAGGCTGAACTTGGAACAAATAATTTTCTTTTATTTCATTATTTCTTTTTGGGTAAATGTAAATAGTATTTGATATGAGGGAAAGAAATATTTAGGATAACAGTACAATTTTTATCATCTCATGTTAACGTGATTCTGCGTTGTTTATGCTTTTTAGATGTACTGGACTAGTGAAGAGGATAGTTGGCCAAAAACAACAGAAAAATAAGAAAAATAGGCATATCGAAGAAGAGATGACTTTGACTAGATTTCAGTGATTTGGAGAAGGCTCTGGAAAAAAGATGGATTAACTACAGCATGAAGGCAGTTCCCTCTGATGAGGGACTCCTTGTTAAGAGCTTGTAGACCAGCGTGAATCAAAGGAGCATAAGTGCTTATGGTCTGTGAACAGTAAGATTTTGAGATATGGAGCTGCTCTTTTAAAAAAAAGAGTTTTATTAGAAGCAGAGAAGACTCTTTTGATGAGTCTTCACATTGGCACAATTTACTCTTCAAAGTTTCTGCTGGGGTGGGTTGTTTCTTGCACAAGGAAGATATTTAAATAATAAAACTGTATAGTGTAAATCTTCTGTGGGATTTATTTAGAGGAGGCAGGCAATCTGTGGGATTTATTTAGAGGAGGCAGGCAAAGACGTGTCTAAAAATTAGAGATCAGCAGCTGCTGTGATGAAGGTGATGGAATGCCCAGTCTTTGGGAGGCTGCTAATGATGGCATGGCTCAGATATTTAAGGTTTTGTTAGCCAGATGATTGAGTCACCAAACTATTAGCGAATCAACAGGAGGTGATGCTATTTTAGACTTGGTGTGGAAGAGTAACAAGATTTTTGTAGGAGAATTGCTTCTAGAAAATGAACTTGTATGATCACTAGTTGATTCATAAATTCTGCAGCTAAAGTCACTGGTGTCAGAAAGGCACTCTTGGAGAGTTTAACGGAGCTTTTCCTATTGGTACCTTCATAGGGACAACTCAGATGATTGTCAAGGAGGCCAGGGGTTTATTCTGTTAGAGGTGTTAAAATCAGGTAATTTTATCGTACTTGACCCTCATTAAGGGGAAATATTCTAGAAAAACATTCTAGATTTAATTGGATGAATAATCACTTCAATATAGTTAAATATTAATTACAACTGTGAAGTGGAAAAAAAAAGCGAGAACTGGCAAAGGAAACTGAGTTGCATCATCGAAAGGCTATCAAAATAGTATGAAAAGATTCTTCAGCTATCTAAAGAAAGGCAGTTGTTGTATGGGAGGATGGGTAGAATTTAAGCATAATCCCCAAATTAAATGAATCCCTGTTGAATACTGGGACAGTGTAATGTAGCCTGCTATTTTTCCTTAGATTTGGTATAAAGGAAAAGAGAGTATGGAAATAGCCACAATGGTAGTAGTAAAAACAATCCTTCGATCTCAGATGGGGGAGACTGAGATCACTGACTTGTGAAGGAAGTGATCATAGGCTTAGTGATAGGTTTTTTTGTTTTTACCAAATTAATCAAGTCAAGAAGTATATGTTACGGAAAACAGCTAGTGTAGTACTCCTTGAAATGGAAGGTGAAGGTAAATATCAAAGCAACTTCAACAATGTCCAGGGCCTTCTAGAAAACATTGAAGTAGAAAACTGAATGAATTGCAACATGAGTTAACCAAACATAGACTGAAATTCATCCCTTTTCTATTGCCTGGGGTTATTTTTCCCTGGGTGCAGGACTCTGCACTTCCCTTTGTTGACCTTTGTGAGATTCCTTTCTGCCCATCTCTTCAGCCTGTGAGGACCCTCTGAATGGCAGCATGGCCCCCTGCTGTGTCAGCTACTCCTCCCAATTTTGTATCAGCAGCAAACTTACGGAGGGTGCACTCTGTCCCCTCATCCAGGACATTGATGAGTAAGTTGAGCAGGACTGGCCCCGGTATTGACCCCTGGGTACACTGCTGAATACTGCCTCCAACTAGACTTTGTGCCACTGATCACAACCCTTTGAGCTCTGTCGTTCAGCCAATTTTCAGTCCACCTCATTGTCCGCTCATCTAGCCCCTATGTCCTGAGCTTGCCTATAAGGATGTTATGGGAAACTGTTGAAAGCCTTGCTGAAGTATGGTAGACAACATCCCCTGCTCTCCCCTCATGTCCCAGCCAGTCAGTCCATCCTAGAAGGCTATCAGCTGCTTTGTGAACTAGGTGAGGAGGTGCAGAGGCAGTACCTCTGATGAGAGAACAGTGCAGACATTGAAGAAGAGTGAAACCTCTATAGCAAGGCTTACCAGATCTCTCACATTTGAGAACTGAGCTGAGGTGATGCAGCCATGAAAAAGGCAAATGTGATGTATTTTCAGTAAGTACAATAAAGCGTTTGGGCCATTGATTCTGAAACTTCATCTGAATTCCTGTATGCGGGGCTACTTAGGTCATCCTGGGGTGGAGAACGTACAGAGAAATTAAAAGCTTAGCTAGTTTAGAGCAAAATGAAGGCTGAGAAAGGAAATTGATACCAAATATTGAGAAGTGGAATAAATACTAGAGATGGAAAGAAACCTGTTCAAGTTGGGAAAAAATACTGTCACAGAAACAGGTGGGTGTACATAGATTATAAATTTGCCTAAATTGTAGATTAGAAGGCTTTTAACAATCATGAGATTGTGGAATCACCTGCCAGTTGGAATAGAGATGGCAAAAAACTTAAAAGGCAGGTTGGAAAGCTTGCAAGAGGAACATAGTCTCTGTGAGAGAGTGAGTCTTGATTCAGAGCCAGTTTCTTGCAGTGTGCCCCGGCTGTTTTGGGAAGGCCGTTGTACTGCACTGGTCACTCTCCTTGCCAGAAATGCTGGGGAGAAAAAGCTATGGAAACCTAAGTTTTGACAGGTTCTTTGAAAGAAAACATTCTTTCAGTGCTGTCTGGTCAGGGAACTTCTATGAACAATAACAGAAAGGAGATCAATCTAAAAGCTTAAAAACGTAAGGAATATAATTTCATGAGATCTATTAGTAACTTCCTTCTCTGAGGTCTTACCTAAGGTTATGAAAAGCAACACAAGATCTGATGTGGAAAAAGCTAGTTTATAAATTGAACCTAGTAAAACAAATCAATAAATACTTAATCCCAATTTTGGAGGCAGATGGTGCATTCTTAATTTGTAGCAACATGGTTGAATCTTTGCTTTAAGTGCAGTACTTTTCCTCACCTGTGGAGCTGCAAGTGTTGCATCTCCTTTATATGGTTTGAGGGTTTTTTTAATCCAAGTTTTAAAGCCAAATATTGTCGACGCATAACCCACTGGTGATTTGGTAGCTTTTACTTTAGTGAGATTTCTTAACTCTTAAATAGAATGCTTCCTTTATATCTGTGAGCGCCTGTCATCAGAAGAGTGCACGCTCTGTTTTGGTGAGAGGGACTGAATCCACAGAACAAATAGAGGTAGTCTGGCTTTTGTTGAGTAAATTCAGCATCCTTAGCAGCTCAAATCTTTGGTGGATCGAAGAACATCAACTTTATCTGACCTAACTCTTCTCTCTCAGTTTTCACCAGCACAATTTACTCTGAGGGAGAAAGGAGAAGTGTAGCTGCACAGGGTTTTTGACATGGAAGTGGTTGGAACACTTGTGAGGATCTAGGAAGATGATGTGAAGTTTTTATGGGAAATAATGTAGGATCCAGAAAATCCCTGTTTCATTCAGTGTGTGTGGTGTACAGAAGTAGCAGAATAGGCAACTCTTGAACAACTTACCTCTAAAAACTTTGTGGTATATCTAAATGTGCTTCTGAAAGGAGATTCTGCTTTGTAGTGCCAAAAAAATTACTGCTAGGGGGGTTTGTATGAATTCCTCTAATACTACTGACTGAGTTTGGAAATGGAAGGTAATTTGAATGGAACATGTAGCTCTGGCTAAAGTCTTCTGAAAAATTGTTTCTGTAAAACATATGCTCTCTCAGTATTGAAATACAGTGTTTTTATTTTGTAGACAAGTGTTAGGGCTATGAAAATGCTGAGGAGATGACAATGAAATTCAAGTGTATATATATATAAAAAAAGTAACGTACACCTAAATATTAAAAATTGCAGTGTCCCATTTAGATCATCATATTGTTTAAAAAAAGTGAGTTTTCTACTTCTTGGGGAAGTCTTCTTACATTCCAGCGAAAATAACAATCACGTTGACATTCCCCCCCGTTTAGAGCAATTAAATTTTCTTCTGTCTAAGCTATTTAGAATAAATAGCTAATTTGGAAGATAATGATTGTTTTGAAATGTAATCAATTAAAAAATAAAAATAGATATTATATTGCTGGATTACTTTGCTTATTTTAGTGATTGTATAATATTATTGACAGTTCTAATGCTTCACAGACTTGTCTGTTTGTAATGGATTAAAACTCCATTTGGAGCGTAGGCATCCAATTTAGGTTACTTTTAAACTAATCCAAAAATTAAAATATTCTTTTTGAGGAAATCTGTATATCAATGCTTACTTGTGACTCTTTGTTTCTCTGTTTATTTTCAAGACGAGCAAAAATCAAATTAAAGTAGATCTTGTAGATGAGAATTTTACGGAATTAAGAGGAGAAATAGCAGGACCTCCAGACACACCATATGAAGGCAAGTAATGTTTTTGATTATGAAATCATTGTATGTTTCAGATAACGTGTCTTGATGTATAGCTTTACGGTTTGAAATGATTTGTTTTTAAATACGAACTCTTAGCCTTGAGAATGTTTCAGTCCAACTTTTGTTTCACTTGAAGGTATATCTGTTCTATGGCAGGACAGCCTATCCTACAGCAAAGGTTAATTTACAGGTTTGAGTTGTGCAACATATAATGATGTAGTGTAAGCCTTAAGAAACTGAACTTCAGAATCTACTGTAACTGTACATGTATTTCTGTGATCTAATGTGGTGATCATTCAAAAAAAATTGTTACGTTTTTCTATCTCGGGGAGAGATACCATTGTAAGTAAAGTTTGGGGTTAATCTGTGACATCCATGGATCGCTGTACTTAATTTATGCTGGAGTTGGGGAATCTATAGGAGAACTTGATATCTGTTAATGTCTTTGGAAAATTACACCTTATGACTTTCTAGTTTATTCTAGGTGATTATCAGTGATCATATGTCTCTTTAGTCTGGAAAAAGTAAGATAATTTAAAACATACAGAAACTAGTAAAAACTTTATCAGAAGCTAGTAAAGCATACTTTATCCAACGATCCTAAATTGTTCAATAGCGCTTACGCAAACAGAAAGTTTACAGGTGTATAATATCTGTGGAGGTGGCAGAGACACCTTTAGTTAAAAGTTGCTAGATGCTTAATGATATAAGTAATGTGTATATATGTATGCACGCACACACACACATATATAAAAATATATGAAAGTTTAACTGGTGTTGTATCCAAGTTTTCAATGCCGGGATATCTACTGTGATTTGAATTTTTATCAAAATTTTCAGTAATGAAAAATGTCTCAAGAAGCATTTCACACAAATTGTGTTGTTGAAAACATTTTTTCACTCAAATTTTGAGTTACTCTAGTATTTTTATGCCTTGGAGCTAGGAAGAGAAGTTGAGTCTTGTCTAGAAATCAAACTCATCCTGTCTATTGATAGTTTGAAAAGTAAATAAATTCTAATAAGTTATCTAAATATAAAAATATCTAAAAGTGGCAGTGTATGCATATATACACATGCACTCAAAAGCATGTTCGTGTGTACTAGTGGGAATCCCACTGTCCCATTTTCCCTGAGCAGGACCTGCCTGGCGATGCTTCTCTTTGGGGCTAGAAGCTGCTTGTGCAGCAGCACTGGCCTTGACAGCAGGGCAGCGCCCTCAATGCTCCCCCTGCTGGGGCCAGGGCGTGCCAAGGAGCAGCAGGCCACCTCCCTCAAAGGCTGGAGAGTACTGGGTAGGGATAGAAGGTGGGGGGAGAGTGAAAACAAGTCTGGAAGAGAGCGAGTGGAAAAGTGGAAGTGTCTGTAATACCTCCCCTTCAGAACCTGAGTCCCAGGATTTCTCTGCGGCCTAGCAAAGATGGCAGTTCCCCTGTCCCTCCTACCCCCAGACCTCTGTATTCTCCTCTCATCAGCCACTGGCGTTTGGTTCACAGAGGAGAATGTCTGCTCGCCCTCTGTGATAACATGTACATTCAATTTAAAGGAAGAGCTGGGCTGTGGACCTAAAATACTGAGTCCTGTCAGTGACCTACTTGGAAGTGGATCATTCCAGTGGAAGTGGAATAGGTCTTTCAAAAATCTAGATGGTCTTGTAAATGCAGAGCTTATTTACAGATGTTAAGGTTGCAAAATTAAGTACTGGATACTAGGAAATGAGGAAACATCTGAATTGAGGTTTAGCTTTTTTTGTTTTTTGCTTTTTTTCAAACATACTTCATCTTCTTTGGGTGAGTTAGCATGTCACAACTTGCCATTTTTTTTCCTCTAGGCCTGTGTTACCTCCGTTTATAAACGGACCTTTTTTTAGAAAATGCGTTGAGAGTTATTTGAAATTTCTGCGGGATGCTGGATAATTCACTTGGACCAGAATTTTGAAAGTTTGAGCACTGTGTGTTCACATATTCAGGGTATCCAGCTTATGAAAATTAGCAGTATGTGTTTAGTGCAGAATTCTTCTGGTAAATATCACCTTGTTTGGGTAGAACTGTTGTATATACTGCTTATGGCAGGGATCTCATGGGAAAATAATGTGATCATATACTTCCACTAAGCTGCAAGGCATACGCCCCAAGCAGCAAAATTAAGTTACTGGCAGCCCTAAGTCTGGCATTTCTAACACTTATGTGCTTTACTTTGGAACTCCACCATTTCTTGAACGTGACTGATTCCTGTCAGATACAGTCTTAACAATGATGCAACAAATGTCTTATGGACACGAGGTAAGTAACTCGGTAGTTCAGGACAGACAGTTCCCTGGGATGGAAGGAAGTTCTAAGACCATGGTTAAGTGAAAGAGCCACAGTATTTATTGTAGGCCACAACTGATAAGGTATCTGAAAACAAAATTCTGCTGCAGCAGAATTCTTTTTAGGTCATGTTTGGACATTGGTTTAAGTAGGACTGAGAGGAAGAATACCATTCATAGTTGACAAATTTTTCAGCTTTTATTTTTTGTAAATGATTTCAACTCGTATACTGACCAATTTTAACAATGTTGCAAGACACACAGCTTGAAGTGATGCTGTTGCATCCCACATGAAAATAGATGTATTTAGAGAGAGGACCTTTGAAAATGTAGATTGAATGGCTGCTGTGTTTATATCGATCATGATCTTTCATTAGATAGATTTTTAAAACCTATAGATTAATTTGAAGCCAAGTTTGCGTGTGAGCCACAGTAATTGTGGGGTTTTTATAGTGGAGTATTTTCTTCAAGACAAATTATTGCAATTTATTTTGACTGTATTGTGAGAACTACTCTACTGTAGCAGTACAGAAAGAATGTTTTTCGGTAAATGGTTAATTTGATCTCAAGTGTTAAATAGTTGGAGGAAGAAGCTAAACATATGCCTACTGCTTTTAAAAAACATATTTCAAAAATAGGCTATCCCAAAAATATTGGGATACAAAAGCTAGTATGCTAGTCCTTTGCATTTTAAACATAATATTGAGGAAATTAAATTAATAGATACCCAGATAAATTTGTTCAGTCTTCAAGCTCGTATTTTTAACTGTAAATTTCAGTGCACAACAATGAATCTGTATAAATGATGTTGCCAACTCATTTCTCCTTGTTGTTTTAAAATCATTTGGAGTTGTATATTCCAGGTGGAAAAATTTGGTAGCTGAATAGCCTGTTATGCAGAAAATTGTAATAGCCTGTCTTTTACAGGCAGAATCTAATGGTAAACAGAAGAAATTGTAATATCCAAGGATAGGTTTTATATTTCCTTACAAAACGGTATGGCAGTAAAATCATACAGAGACTGATAGTGCTGTTTTTTGGGTTTTTTTTTGGTAGTACAGGAACAGCCTAATTCTTCTATTCTGTAGGAAAAAAAAATGCTACTGAATTATACTTTGATTCAAACTAATAAAAAGCAAGGTTATTTAAGGTCTGCTGTTGATGTAAACAATACATATCTTCATAAATATTTTAGCTGTGCTCTCCTAGAAGCAAGGATGAGAAATAAACTTAAACATTAATGGTGATAATTTTGGATTCATTGGCTTTTATTCTATTCTCTTTTCTTTTCTTTTTAAATCTTCTGATTTACTGCAGATTTAAGTGAGGGGTTAAAAAACACTTTTAGAAAGTAGTGCAAAATATCTAGCCTGAATGTTAGACTGAATTATGTGTATTTTGTCACAGATAAAATTCCCATAGACTGTAAGTGTTCGGAGTATTCCTGCAAGTTTTTTCATTCATGTGGGTCTCGCTGCTTATATTGAGACTACTTGAGAGCTGTGTATGTAGAGACTGATTAGCTGTAGAACAAATCGCTTTCGAAATCTCAAAGGAAATGGATTGCAGGTGCTTTAACTTTATTTCAAGGAAACTTATAAATTGTAATACAGTAAATTTAAGGATGGAAAATGTTAATTTCCGAAAGGACAGAGATTGACCGTGGAAGAAATTGCACATGAGGAGCAATGCTTTCAGTTTCTATAAAACTGAACATCTAAATTGGGTTATATGTTTTGTTACTCTCTGTTTTGTGGGTCATTAAACTGTGGCCTGGCAAATAATCTTAGTGAATAGGCAGAGAGGGCTTGAGATTGCCCCAGAAAACAGAAATATTGATAGAAAACTTTGAAAGTTAACAAAGCTATAATTGGAATAGGAATAGATAATGATACTGTAAAAGGGAGAGAAAAACAACTGTTTAAAAGAAGGCGGTAGAAGACAGCATGAACTTGGAGGACTGAACCAACCTTTATTACATGCTGTAATCTTGCAAAACATATTACTACTATTAGTATGCAAAAGTGTTTGCAGAACTGGAACGAAAGTGACAACTCCACTAGTCAGTGGATAGTAATGTAGCACGTAGTGGAAATAGTGTTGAAGCAGATCTTCTTCTAAAGAGTGGGAACTTTTCTTAAATTATGTAGTTGAACATTTTTCCGGTCTAGAAATTTTGAAAGGAAATGAAATTAATTTTGATTGTGTAATTTGAAGAAAGCTTGTTCATATGAGGCATCAGAAAACAGCAAAAATACTGTAATATTCCATATTCATCTTGGGCACTCCTGTGGCTTATTCCACTATCAGTTTTGGGACTATCTCGTTCATATTTTCAGTCTATTTTACTAAAATGGAGTGTGGAAATTATAATGATAAAAATGAGCAACTGTAGGTGATGTATACACTAAACATATCTAAGAAATATACATTCTGATTTTTTTAAGCAAACATGACTTTAATTGATTTATATGTATTTGTTTCTGTATAAAATAGATGAAATCTAGAAGATACTACTAGATAATGTTTTCTGAGTACATTTAAGTTACCTGACAACCTGTATATTTAGAAACATAGGCTTTGCTGTCGTGAGAATGTATGCTTGATTAATGTTCTGTCGTTTCAACTTCTAACTTGTTTTTGTCTTTTACAGGTGGAAGATACCAACTAGAGATAAAAATTCCAGAAACATATCCATTTAATCCTCCTAAGGTACTATAAACACATTTTTTATTTAAAAAAAAAAAAATTGTCAGTAAGTTGTCCTTGAGTATTCTTTTGCTTGTGTGTATATTTTCTTTGTAGCACCCATCTCCCATTTTAGAGGCCTCCTTCAGATAGACATTGGAACTGTCTTCTCTAGTTAGAAATCATGCAGCATGCATAACTGCATCTCATTAGAAATGCATTCTGATTATTTTAGGGAGGAGCTTGTACTGAAATGGCTACCACCACCTTATTGACCCTCTCATCATTTCTCTTTGGCAAGATAAAGATGTTTTTCAGATGGTTATAATTTGATTTTTGAGAGTATTGGTTATTTTCACAGTATTATTGAAAGTTCTTTGCAAAAGAAATGCTATATTAAATACGTAATTATCCTTAACTAATTCCTTGGATTCCCTAGGTTATTCTTGGTTGAGTCTTGAGTTAAAGCCACCAGGTTTCCAGTAGTAATTAAGTGCAGTGAGAGGTACAGCTGTACTGTGACTTGAAGGAGCGTTGCAAACAGTGTGGTCTTACTGCAACTCTATTGGAGGAATGCCTGAGATATTCTCCTCATGTTTGAATGTGTGAACAAGCATGAGAGACGTGAGAAATGGCTGTGTTAAATTCATTTGTGCCGTCAAATAAATTTCTTTGCAGTCTTCTGGGTTGTTCTTCCTGCTGTACGTTTGGTGCAACTTATTTGCCCTTTCAGCTTTCCTGCATCTTTCCTGCATCTTTCTAGCGCTTTTAATCTGTGCCTGCACTTCCATCTTCAGAAGATAGAAAAAGAAATCAATAAAAAATAGTGTTCTCCCCAGGCCATGTGCAGCTGCAATTGTATGTTCCTGTGCCCCAATTCAGTCTTTTCTTCAGTGGCTTCTGACCAGTCTTCAGACTCATGAGTTACCTGACTCAGCTTTTTGATTGGCTTTCTCTTTCAGTCTGAAAGATGTCTTTGAACTATAAGAACGTGTCCTAGATCCTGATTATTTTCACCCTGGCGTGCAGTACAGGGAAGGGATTGGGGACAAAGAGAAAGGGAGAGATGCCAATAGATTGTTCTTAGTTCTTGTGCTTTGAATCACTTCCTTGAGTCTGGAGTGAACGATGCAGAAAGACCTTCTTAATGAAAAGTCTGCTGGTTTCAGCTCTTTAATCTACATGTATTCTGGTGGGAGTTAAAATAAGGAGAACTGAAATGGGTCACAGACCCCGAAACATGGGTCTATGGACCATGGTGTAATTGCTGCTTTAGGGCTTGGTGGTTTCCCCTTCCAAAGCTTACAGACAGCCGTTAAGAGGCTCAGTGCACTGTGACACAGAAGTGCTTATTCTGGAGTCCCTGTAGTTTTGATTGGAGGCCTTTTTGCTTACGTTTAGCCCTGTCTTTCATCTGGAAGATTTCTTTATCCTGTTCAGAATGTGCTTTGGCAGCCATTGTTAGCCTTCATTCACTGTGAGAAATTACCTAGTATTTACATGACTTTTTACATTTTCAAAGTGATTTCTAGACTTGAGCTAGTTAATAAATGGTTCGGCTGACATGATCTCTTATTTTCTGTCCTGGAAAGCAGAACTCTTGTGGTCTCACCCAAAACCTATTTATATGCCATGATTGCACTAATTTTATTACAGCCCTGCACATACAGCGTTTTGCTGTAGTGCCTGACAAATAATGTGTTCTTTGTGCCGATTTGCTTGCAGATTAGGGGCAAAAGTTGAAGGAAAATCTGTGTGCCACGTAGAATGTTTGATAGGGGTTCAGGGTGTGAAGGGAGAGATGGGAAACACTTGACAGAGCAAAGTCACTAGAAGACATTTAACATGCAAGATGTTTAAAGAAAACAAAGGAAGAAATTCTGAAGGCAGCCAGTATATATTACTTTCAGAAGACTGTTTTCTGAGACTTTCAGAAGAAAATATGACTTTCTTTTAACCTTTTCTATGTTGGAAGAAAAATCAAATTGGATTTTATTCCTGCTTTATGAGCATAAATTATTTTGGTGTAAAAGCAGACATGATCAATAAGTGAATATTGGGACAAGATCCTTCCAACAGTAGAGAAAAATAACTGTCGTATGGTTAGATTTTTAGATTCGTTGAGAAGCTTTGTGTGTAAGGATAACAAAGATGATGAAAGTCTGATGGTGAAAGAAGTAGTAGTCTTGCATCGACCAAGGAAATTTTATAGTATTTCATGCAGCTACCAACAATTTAGCTGAACAGTGAGATCCTATGCCTGCATTAAGACTTCAGGGACCTGTTTCCCTTTGATAAATGAGCAGACTTTCCAGTGTTTTAACTGATTTCTCTGACAACATTGGAAGTTGTATGTCTGCATTTGACCATCTGCTTATGTTAAAACACTGGTACTGCTGGAGGATATTTATAAACAGCTTGGTGTGATGAGGGGGATGTGCCCACATGAGAGTATATGAGAAAACAGGTGTGGATGATTTTGATGTCCTCAAATGGATGCTAGCCTGTTTCTGAGTAAAGCAAGGCTCTGTCTAACAAGTGTCCTTGCAAACCTGAGGCCTCCTAAAATATTCTGTTCTGGTTGGTTGGTTGGTTTTGCTTGATATAGCCTAAATTAGTATTTCTTTGTACTATAATTAGAAGTGGTACATTTAAGATACATTTACTTAGTGTACTGCATTTAATAAACATCTTTATTTCTAAAAATTATCTTGTATTCTAGGTGCGGTTTATCACCAAAATATGGCATCCTAATATTAGCTCAGTCACTGGGGCCATTTGTTTGGATATTCTGAAAGATCAATGGTAAGTTTCCATACGGATTTAAATGTACAAAATCAAGTATACCAGAGTCCTAAATAATAGGCAACAGCTCATGTTGCTTTTTACTTTGTATTTGTAATCTGATATGTCCCTAAAGCTGAAAATATTTCAGTATAGTATTTTGAGTTGAAAAGAAGATTCTAATGAAATGTGATTGGATGGTAATTTTGGAAAACACTGAGTAGGTAAAATAGCATTTTTGAGAACTTTTACACTAAGATTATGGTGAATGTTTCACTTTAAATACAGATATATTCTTTTTGTTTTCTCTAGCAGTTCATGTTTTCTTTGTGCTTAGTTCTTCAGTAACAAATAGTGCTACCTATAGTTGCCTGCATTTTGTCCATCTAGTCTCCTAAGGTGTACAGAAAAAACAAAGGCTTGTCTTCTTTCTGATTCTTGATTTTTGTACTTCCAAAGAAAACTAGTTCTGATGGAGGTAAAACAGTAAATGGAATAAGAATCCGGGAGTGTGAAAGGTAACAGGCAGGCCATAGGAAGGCACCGTAGAAAAATGAGGGCCTGGAGAAAAGAGACTGACCGTACTAATTCTCTCTGAGTTATCGTTGTTAATATTTATGACTTGAACCTCTGTAAAGAATTTGTCTTTTAGTTGCTTGTCAGCTGCTGACAGTTGCTTAGTTAATATGTTACTGACAAAGTTTTAATAGCCAAAGTCTGTGGGATAAGCCTGTAGGTGTCCAAACTATAACAGCTGAACTTGTATCATTTGGAAAAACAAACCACCTTTGCTATTGCTTGAAGATTATGTGCATCAAACGTATGTTAGATCCGATATCTTAAGAGTGGAATTCATTTATCTTTGTTTTCCTCCTGTCTAACCCAAGAGAACAGGACTGTAATTCCCAACTAGATAACATTGGGATACCTAAAGCATACAAGCTTCAAATGCTCATAATTTCAACCCCTTCCTCGAGACCAAACAGACATCAGTTGGGCTTGGAGGAGAAACCCCAGAGCAGGAAGTGAGAGATCAGGTTTTGCAGTGACAGATCCAGCGTATCAATTTCTTACAGGATTAGAGGATCACACAAAACGTGTGGTACTATAGTCCAGTGTAGTGTAAATTACTAAGATGAAATTGTAAGTTGTTATTAGTTATCTCTTTCATTTTCAGAACTACTATTTTTTTCTTTTCCTCTTTTCCTACAATCTCAGAGCAGTTGTCCTTCTTTCAGGCTGTAAATCTCTCGGCATACATGCCATGGTACATACTGTAGTTTCTCTAGTAATAAAGCCAGTGCAGTTTTCTACCTGAACCTAGTTATTCATTCCATCCCACAATTGTACTGAAGATCAACACTTCTTCAGATGTGCAATGCATTTTCCTGAGATGCTCTCTAAACCAGATTAGTGAAAGAGCACGAGGGTGGGTTGGTTGGTTGGTTTGTGCTGGGTTCTTTTTGTTTTGGTTCTGTTAGGCAAAATAACTATTGTTGTTATTTTTATTTTATTTTATTTTTTAAACAAGGATCATTTCACTCATCTGAACTAGAGCACGCACAAACCTTCTTTGAGTGAAATATGCCTAGCTGGGGGAGTAGGTTTAAGTAGTGTGGATATGGGAGGGCAAAAATTCATTATTTCTAGCAGTAAAGGTGGTTAATGTGGAACTGCATTCTAGCTTCATTAATACTTTCTTGAGAAAACTTGTCCCATGTTGAAGGTCAGGATTTTTTCCTTCCATATTTTGATACTTCTTTATCCACAGCCTAGTTGATTTGCTCACAATATCAAAGTCTTTATTTCCGAATTAGTGTTTTTGGTAAAGAAGGCTGGATGATCTTGCAGCTGTGGCATGGGACTGGGATTCAGGAGAAGAGATTTTGGTTTGCACAGCCCTGGAACAGGTCTTCTGTTGTCTTTCAGCATTGCCAAGCACTGTAACAAGTCTCACAAAATTCAGTCTTATTCCCAAGCTGCTGCTTTGGGAGTCAAACAGTTAATTTGTTCTTTAAGATGAAAGTTTCTGGCTTTTGCAATTGCTGATCAACCTTTTTAAAAAACAAAAACAAAAAAACCCTACTAAAATACCAAAAGGCAACAGAGGAAGACCCAAAGAAATCATGAGCTTTAAATTTTTTATTTATTCCTCCCCTTGAAATTTGGGGAGGAAGAAAGGGAGAGATCTGACTTGTATTCTAGTCATCTTTGAAAGTTAAGTTTTGCACAGATCACTTAATCTGTACCTTGATGCCCCCAGTTAAAAGAATATTCCTACCTGCCTTTACCAGGATAATTATAAAATAGAGATTTTGGAACAAGAACTTGCCTTCTGTGTAATTAGACAGTGATTGGCACAGGGAGCACCACAGTCACACCATCTATATACTGCTGAACTCTTCCTTCTGAATGCTGTCTTCATTTGGAAGCTTTGAGGAAAGAATTTTCAGAAAATATCTCTCTCTTTTTTTTTTTTTCCCCCTCCTCCTCTGTGTGCTGTGATCCCTTTTCAGATGGCTCTTACCGTAGTGATCCTTTCATTTTCTTGTATTGCTGCTTTTTTTGTAAGTGAGAGAAGATTGCTTGAGTTTTGAAGTGCTTTTTTTAAACCCTCTAGTCCTTTATTGGAGGTGAGGAACCTGTGTGGCTACCTGTATCCTCTGTTGTTTGAAAGAGTTCAGTAATGTGGTAGATTAGACTTTTTTTCTTTTTCAGCTTCCTAAAACTATTTCTAAGCCATATGAATAGTGAATACTGTTTCAGAAAAGAATTTAAGAGGTGTATTTATGTTGATAGAAGCATGTGCTGTTTTAACTGTTTAAAGTGAGAAATGCCCACGTTACCATGGTTAAGTTATTCCCCAGGCGTAGGTTGAATAACAGTTTGAATAAGATAACAGCCTCTTTAAAACAAAACACAGCAGCAAAAAAAGCCAACACCTTCCCACCCAAGCCTTGAAGAGTTCATTTTAAATGAATTTCACTAGGTGCTCAAAGGTGAATGGTACAAACGCAGTTCTTAAAATATTCAGATAGCTGTGTTCTGGAAGATGTATTTAGTCTACAGTCTTTCCTGTCCAGTGTTTTAGTAACAAGATTTGTTTCTGAAGTGCTGCTTCTCTGACTTGTAGTGATCTTACTGAACAATTCTCTTTTTGTTGCTATATTTAAATGTAAATCTCAAATTCCAGTGCATGTTCATCATTTTCATTGAGGTCAGTGGGAGCTGAAGGACAGGGTTTGGCCCTGTGGGACTTCATACTTTTTTTTTTTTTTTAAAGAGTTAAACAAACTGATACAATATTCATTAACATATGGTGAATACAAATCCAAAGATTTTAATGTATTTGGGTAGTTAAAAATTCATGTCTCTTCCCTCCTCACCCATCTCATGATAATGATTTTTTGTTCTAATGAGCATAGTTGAGGTATTGTTAGACATATTGGCAAGAGGTTTTGTCAGCTTGTAAAGTCATTTAAAGGGTTTAATGAATTTCTTTCTCCATGGTATATGTTTGATGCTGAAATTCTCTGCAGCTGTAATTTTTCGTCATATTTAGATTTGCAAATACCTGGTATGCCAGTTAGTGTGCAAAACAACCGCTGTTTGCTGATGGAATTAAAAACGGGGAGATGACTGTATAGAAGGAATACTATTTATGCTGATAGGATATGACTTTTGTTGTGCAATTTCACTTGCTGTAGCCTATGTTTATCTTTCTGGCTAGTATTCTGTCTGAAAAATCTGTTCTTAAATAAAATAGAAAATGTATCCAGTACTGTATATTGAAACCTGAGAAGTAAACTACTTGAGAATTGTTTTGCATAAATCCCTTGAGCAGTGATTATCCAGTAAATGTGTTGTGGCTGTGTGCATGGCTATAGGAAATTCTTGTTTACTGTGGGTTTGACAGTCAAAATACAAATGCATAATAAGAATGTTATTTTCATAGTGGCTTTACTGGAGTATTCTGTCTTTAGTTTTGATTGAGGTGTAGAAATCATTATTGTAAGAGGTATTATAATTAGAAGAGGCATACAATCAGCAGCCAGCTAGCAGTAATAATTTTTGTGGTGCATTTTCTTGGGCTTTCTGAAGCTGCTGGCTTTGCTCAGACTCAGTGAGGATCACTGAGCCTCTGTAAAGCTTTGAGAACGATGCAAAGAATATTAACGTGGTTTTAGGGGACTCTTCAGCATGCAGGGCAATTTGTCCCCCTGCATTATGTCAAAACTATTCTGTTGTCTGCAGTGCTTTTTAGGGTGGCTTGGTTTGCTTTGATTTTGTTGTTTGTTGTTTTTTCAATGGGTGCCCAGTCTGGTATTTCTCCTGTAAATAGTGACTATACCACAGGTTTCCACTGAAATGCCTGATGACCTTCCTCCCTACTTCCAAATTCCTTGAATCTTTGGTACAAATTATCAGAGCTTTTTCTCTCAGATTAACAAGCTTAGCTATTTCACAAATGGAATAAATATTTATTACAGAATTGGAAAAATGTCGTCATTCCTGGTAACTAGAGTAGAGCAGCAGTCTCCTGGCTGCAGGTGTTCTTGTTGCTCTGCAGGTTACCTCTCAAAGTTGAGGCATTACAGAGACCGTTTTCAGAGAGAAACACACAGAGCATAACTAAAAACTTCCTAAATGGAGAATTATTTAGCATTTAAAAATAATTTAAAAAAAAAAAGAGGAAAAACTGGCCAAGTTTTGTAACCCTCTTAGGACTTTTTCTGGTCGTTGAAAGGTAGATTTCTTATCTCAGGCATGCTGGACACAGCTGGCTTGCCATGCTTTTTTAACATTGTCGTTATATTCATGCCAACAACCGCTGCCGCTTTTCAGTGGAAATGCCCCAAGATGTTTTTGTGTGTGTGTATGTATATATGTATATGTGTGTTTGTGTGTGTATGTGTATATAAGTATATATGTACGTGTGTATAAGTGTGAATACATGTATACGATTGACTTTCTTTGTTCTGGTTTGCTTCAGGTTTCCCTTACAAATGTGGATGGATAGCCTAATTTTTTTTTGGAAAGCCTTTAGTCTGAAGTTCTCAGAAGGGACAGCTATTCCCTGTAGTGAACTCTCGGTGGTTCACTGGTAGATGTCACTGGTCTTTTCTGCCTGTTTTTGAGGTGTCAAACCAGCAAACTTGTGTAGTGGCTAAGCAGTATTTTGGATTGAGGCAGGGGAGGATCAAGGATTATTGTAAATTTTCAGACACACGTGAGTCAGTAATGTTGAGATTTTGAAAAAGGCAAATAAGATGCTGGGATGTAGAAAACTATACCTGAAAGACTCATGAATTGCCTTTTGCTTATCGTTGATAAGGCCTCAGGTGGCATACTGTACCCACTTCTGAGCGTTGCATTTCAAGAAAGATGGGTGCCAGAGAAAAAACATCCGGGGTGAGTAACAAGAATGACACCTAATTAAACACGATCTGCAGTGAAAGATTGGAAAGCCGTTTTAGCATACAGAATAGCAGGTACACTGAAGCACTGAAATAGATTTCTTTTCCAAGAAATGTGAGTGTCTCCAGTTAAGAACAGATCAGGCAAAAATCTGTCAGGAGTGATATAAAACCTTGCCTTTGGCAAAGAGGAGAGTTGGTGGCTTTCTGAAATTTTAGCTTTTTTTTTTTTTTTTAAAGTAGATTTACACTTCACCAATTTAAAAAAAGAAAGAAACAAACAAAACCCCATGCTTATAGCTTGTTTGAGTTACCAAAGGAAATTGCCTGATCTCTGTGAGAGGTTGCCCTTAAATACATGCCTAGAAATAAACTTCAAATATAAGAACACTTGGATTTTTTCCATTCCTGAAAATAAACCCTTGAGGAACATTGGAAAATGCAGAATATGTTTCTTTCCATGGTTTTAAGGAAGAATTCGCACAACTTTCTTTGCAGCACTTTCCTTTCTAGGATATGTGCCTGGGCGTGTGTGTGTGTTTGTGTGTGAAGGTGTTTTTTTGTGCAGCAAGCAACCTATATCTTCCTCCAGAACTGATGGTGGAGAATTGTTGTTTCCGTTCTTTGCTAACGGGAGGATCAAGTCCTGCTTTTCTAGTATCTGCTTGTAGTTCTGAGCAGTCATCTCCATTCACTTTATCCTCCCAAAGAAGGTAACAGGAAAGAAGAGCTTTTTAAGGAAATTGGGAAAGGAGAATCTGTTTTTAGCTGTCTGCAGTTTCTTCTAGAAATCTAACTTGTCTTTGGAAAATAAGACTAGTCTATGTAGGTGAAGACTTTGGTACTTTCTTTGATAAGGGAAGATAATTGAGATCCTAAAGATAGACGATGTTACATGAGTATACAGTACTAAACGTGTCGTCCTCCCCCCCGCCCAACATCAATCACAAACTTTGTTCTCCTTTTTATTACACGAAGCAGCTAAAGTTGTAACAGGCTTTTTTCCCATAGATTAAGGATATTTCTTCTTCGAACTTTGTGTCTAATGGACACTTTGTTTAATTATGCATGAGCCATGAGCGCCATGTCTGAGAAATGAAACTTGAAAATAAATTGTAAATTATATTTTTAAACCTTTTTGCATATGTAGCTAATCTAGTCTTGTCTATAAACTTACAATTTCAGAGTCTGAGTTCTTTGAGAGTTAGCATATAGCCATCTGTATATCCAAATGGATGAGAGATTTATTTTTATTACTCGTTTTAAAATCGGAACGTCAGAACAGAAGTTCAGGTCCCAAGTATGCTTGAGATAAGAATCTGCAAAGAGAACAGATGAACAGGGCTGAAAGGGTCTAGCAGTGTTGGAGCCAGAGCCAGCTGGAGTCAGCACAGAACTCGTGTTCTAGCCGTTCGTGGCCCCTTTTGCACTTAGCGATGCCTCCCAAGGCATCCTTTCCACTCTGCAAGGTAAAGTGTAAAAAGAAGTAAACTTCTTGTAAAAGCGGCCCAAGTGTGTGAACCCCTTTGCTGTGTTTTATTCTAGTTTAAATAGTGGCAATATTTTCAGACACCTTTGAAGTGAAAAGATTTCTATAAAGAAAAGTACAGGACAGCTTTTATCTAGTGAAAGTAATTATGGTATGAGTTAGAGTTGATCAAGTTTTCTTGTTAAGCCTGCCTTGAAAAATCACGCTAGATAGTGTAGTAAAATTACCTAGCTGAGTCAAAGGACTTCAGGTTTTAGAGCATGCCTAGTGGTTGTGGGAATTTCTGAAATTCCCTGCAAAAATGTGAAAGTGATCACATCCATTCAAGTGCAGAAAGGTCTGGAAGACTGCATTCAGGTGTCAGAGAAGGCTAAAAATAGTTATTTTTCAAAGTAGTTGCATCTTCAGGTAAACGTACTACATGAAGGTTCATTTAGTACTAGCAGATGCCACTGTGAATTGTCATCACTAAAGAGTTCAATTTCAAAGGACTATGAACCAGTAGAGGTCACAGAGAACAGAAAATTACAAGAAAATAGCATAGGTACCTGTAAGGCAAAAATGTTCTGTCATTCAGTGGTGGGTTGTTTTTGGTGGTGGTGGGGTGGGTGGGTGTGTGCACGTGTGTGATTTAGGTGTGGAAAAAACAAGATGCTTTGTGCTTAGTGTTAAATATGAAGTTAGCTTGGTTCTCATCGCACAACTAAGGGTATGTTTCAGTAAGTAGGTGTTCTTTATCTGATTATATTTAATCTTACTGGTTAATTCCTAGCTTCATTTGTAACTTAAAGAAACGTTCTTTAGTTTGGAAGAGATGGCCAGCTTGGAAGTTGAAGCGCTTAATCTTAATTGGAAGAGAAACCAAATCTGAAATTTGGAAAAGTCAGTTTAGTTGCTAAGGAATATGTTTGGAAATGGAGAATTATATGTTGTGAAGTTTTTGTGCTTCCCCCCTCCCCCCCCCCCCATTTTGTACTTCTAAAAGCATGATTTTTTTGAAGAGTTAAATCTGCAAAATTCAGCTAGAGGGACTTTAAGCTGATGTGGCAGTTGGAAAGAGACAATATGTGCTAATTAAAATCTCTCTCACTTGGGATGTTTCTCACTTGCATTTTAATGTAGAACATTGCACTGTGAAAGCTCAGTGATGATTATCATGTTTAAAAAAAAAAAAAAAAGCTAAATTTCCAGGAAAAAAAAATCTTTCAAAATTGGAAACAATTGGGGAAGAATGTCTTATTTGAATGATTAGTGATGTAACTTGAAAGCTGTACATATGAGTCTCTAGGAATATAATATTCAGGTGTCATAAATGTACCTCTGATACTTTACCAGCATTTATTTTCTGCCCTTTTATGCATGTATTCTGCCATGGTACCTCAGTACAGTGCCACAGTACTGGAAAACAGGCAAGCTTCTGAAATCTGACACTGGAAATACAGATTTGCAAACAGTTTCCTTTATATCTGCACCCTTAGGTCAGACTCTTCCCCATCCACTCTGACTAACTGCATTCACTTTCAAAGTCTTCTGAAAAGAAAAAACTTTTCCCTTGGTTTAAAAATTGAACAACCCATCTGTGAGAAATTGGGTGCTTCTTTCCTGATTTTCCTTTAGCATTTCATGTGCTGTGACCATTTTGCTCAAATCCAAGGTTTCCCGTTTTCCCACTTGCCATTCTGCTAAGACTTAAGCACAGTAAATAGTTTGTGTATTATTATTCTCCATGCCTTTCTGCGCCTGAGCCGTAACAACTGGGAGTCTACTAGCGCTCCTGTTACAGAGAATAACTCTTCACCTCAGCTGAAACACGCAACCACAGGTTCTTTGGGTCCTTACTCAGTTTCTAGTGTCAGCTGAACTGATGGATCACGGAGATGGTAGTCAGGAATCAAAGCCTAATAAAATTGTTTATTTAAAATGTGGCAATTTTCTAGGCTTACAGTGTTTAGCTAAAACTTCCTACTTTTACTTTTCTGAGCAATTAAGTTTTAACTCTGTAGTTGTTTTTTTCCTTCTCAGATTCTTTAAGTCTTATTCTAAGATCTCCTCATTTAATTTGAACGCGAAGCGTGTGTAGAAGTTGAGTGCTCCAGCCTCTAGAACTCCTCCAGCTCCAGCAGGGTTCTTGAACAGGTGCAAAAGTGTGCCTTTAGGGCATCGTCTTGACTGCAGAAGTGCTTTTCTGGCCTCCTATTGGGTTCAAATTCTGTCAGTAATGTCAGATTGAAATGAAAGAAAGTGGAGATGATTATTTTCAGTTACACAGTTTTGTAATAGCAAAATCCTTTTTATTATTCAAGGAGTAGTTCTCTACATAAATTGTTAATCATTCTTACTGAAAAATATTTAGACTGACACAATGCAAAAGGTCTCAAATGTATAAAAGTGCTTATCTGTTACAAGAATTAAAAATATAGGTCACTATTTCTGTATATGCTACTTTGCCTCAAAGAGTGCCAGCAGAGGGAGCACACATGGGCTTACCAGTTCAGTATGCAGAGTTTACTCCTAGTAATACTGGTGGCAAGGAAAGAGGGGATGAGCTTTAAGTTAGCTTTATTCTTTAAGCAAAATGAGTTTTGTTAAGTGGGCAAAGTCAAATGTGTAGACCAGGGATTATTTTCCCGGTGCTTAAGAAAGCATTATTAATAAGAAAGTATGCATTTAAAGCCTTGTTTAAATATGTATAATGAATAGTGTTCTAATACATATAAGCTGCAGCAATTTAAAATTATGGTTCTTACACTTACGGCCTTTATTTCTGTATCTTGTGCAATATTAGAACAGCAGTAAAGATGAGTATAGGCATGGGATTTGGTAAAGTCATTTTCAAACTGTAATTTTAGGGCAGCAGCAATGACTCTAAGAACAGTGTTGTTATCGCTGCAAGCGTTGTTGGCAGCTGCAGAACCAGATGATCCGCAAGATGCAGTAGTGGCAAACCAGGTAAGATACTTGGTTAACTGTGTGTACTTTTAACACTTCCTTAAACTTTGTTAACTCCAATTGGGTCCCAAACCTCTTCCTTGGGAAGAGAAGAATTGTAAAGGATTACTGGAAAATTGCTTGATGATAAGTGGGGGTTACTACAGTGTTTTGTGCTCCTTACTCTCAGGCTTCCAAAGTAAATAGCAGTTATTTTACAGTGTCAAGAGGTTATTTGATTCTCCTTTTATTCAGCTTGTGAGAAATGAATTCCAGTATAATTTTTCCTTTTACAATCGAAGGCTTTTAGTATACGAAAAGAAATGTTGTATTTGTTTTAAGTGAGTTTTAAGTTTTTGATGCTCTTTTGGTTTGTCTTAGTATATAGTCCCTCGTCTAGCTCAGTGTGAATATTGTTGAACATCATATTTGTTAATGTCAAAATTTTATAAATACAGTTACGTTGGACAAATCATTGAACTGCTTCTCAGGATTAAATGTAACATCTGAATGAAGCACCCTATGTATTTGACACTTGCGAGTACTTGGGATGACTGTTTTACGCACTGGTCAAACTGGTATCAGTAGAACTCTTGTTGATTGCATTGGGTTTGTTACTTTTTCAAACAGAAGCAAAAAGTAATAATAAAATGTTAATTGGGTCTTATGCCATATGAGAAGTCCCGTGGTACTATTTAAAATGTTGATGAAAGATAGGAATCGTCATTCTGTAATGTAATAGTTGACAGACTTTAACAAAGCCCCATGTACATGCATGTTATTTTTCTTTTTTAACTGGAGAGAGGGAAACTGGGTGTGAGAGGCGGCTGAGAGTTGAAGGCCTAGCTCCACAAGTGACTGCTAATGAGGGTATATTTCAGTAATGATAAAGCAAAAAAAAAAAAAAAAACCCACGAAGTGAGCACCCTCCAGGAAAGGGTGAGAAGTGTGTATTTCTATTCTCTAAAAATCCACTTAGGATGTTCGATTATCAATATATTGGATCTGTCAGGTTTTAGAGCAAAACACGGGGATCAATGATGTCCCATTGCATTGCTAGGCAGGGAAGAGCTGTTTTAAAGCTACTCAAGTCCCTAGACTCAGTAGCAAGTACTGAAGGTTTATTTAGGGGTGTTGGTGGGATTCTGGAATATGCTATAAGGCTTGCTATGAATAAATGTACCCAAACAGCTCTGTCAGAGTGAATTGCTGTACGCAAGGAGAACTGCTGCAAAGGCAGGCAAGACAACCAGGCAATCCATGCAAATAATTTCCCAGCATTGGTTTTGCGTGCTTGACATCCTTGCTGTCACGTTCTCTCTTTCTTTTAAAAAAAAAAAAAAAAAAAAAACCCAACCCAAAAACCCCCCCCCCCCCCCCCCCCCCCAAAAAAAAAAAAAAAACCCAGAAATGGTTTCCTACTCTGGCCACTGGTAGCTGAGTTCTGTATAGGAATGCTGACAATCTTGGAGAAACACTGTAGCTGTGAAGAGTTTTCTCCCAGACAAAAAAACCCCTCTCGACACTTCCTAGATTCTGATGAGCAGTTTTCCATGCTGCCTCTGAGGCGCTCGTGGGGATGTGTCCAGTGGGACTGCAGCGCTGCTGATGTGGAAAGGATTCAGTTTCTCCTGTTTGCAGCAAATACTGGCAGGAAAACTGCGCTGGAGCTTGGCCTTTAGTTACAAGCATGCATATATGAGCAGAAAGTCATTGTAATGCTTTTGAGAGAAATGATGGTGAATGCCCAGTTCTTTCATGTGCTTTGTTCTTTCAAAACAAAGATTCATAAGGAATTAGTTACCCTCCACGCTCATTAGAAGGTTTTTAATTAACTACATGTTAGCCCACTAAACCTTCCAGGTGCATGTCAGTGTCCTACAAGCACTTCAGATGAATCCCAGGGAGAACACGGTGGCATTTACATTCAGAACGCGTCTGGTCTCAGCACTAGTTACAGATACTGCACTAGTTGCTGCTTTTTAAGTCCAGCAACATAACTGTTTATGGTTCTTAATAGGGAGACAAAGGTAAAAAGTGCCTTTAAGTTTCTGTCTCAGTGAGAAGCCAGATTATTTACAAATACCTAAATAAAGGGATCTTATTTATAGAACACTGGAAGCTAGTTCTGAATAAAATTAAAGTCATATGTGCATAACTGAAACCTTTGCACTTCAGCTCGTTGCTTTTTAGGCTTGGCTGTGTTCTCAAATATATTTTAAAAATGAGGGAAGTCCTCTAAGAGCAGGAAGATGTTAAGATACTGTTGGTGCTGAACTTAATGCTGCTTTTTTTTTTCTTCAGTTGTAATGACTATATGGATTTACTACAGGTCACTAAATATTTTTATATATTTTTTCATATATTTATATATTTATATATCTTCTTGTATATGTTTTGATATGTATTATATAACATATGTATAAAACAGTGAGTTATTTCCAACAGCAGATTGTCTCTTAGTTTTAATGTATGGCATGTTGATCTTTGTTTTAATGCCATTAATAATCAGATGCTAACTCTATGAATTGCTTCATGTGGGGACAGAGTTAGTGGTAAGTGTACAGAGCGCACAATGCAAGGGAGTCAGTGTGCATGCTTTAGCAGAGACAAAATTAAATGTACAGTAGTAAAAATTACTGTATTCACTTTTACAGTGCTTTACATATTTAATGATTACTTTCATGTATGAATAAAATACTTAGAATCATAATCAGCCCTGTTTCTGTCCTTAAAGTGCATCTAAATACTTGAATGGTGTATTTTTCAGTATCTTATCTTGTTGTTTAGTGCTAGAATTTGTTAGGTAGTTCAAGACTGTAAAACTTTCTTTTTTTTAGGGTATAATGATTGAAAGAAGAATCTTTATTAATAAAAATGATATATGACTGTTGATTGATATGACTTGGTATCAAAGTTGCTAAAGTAGGAAACTGTCGTCTTGCTTTTTCTGAGTGTACTTTATGACAGATGACCCACTTTTCAGCTTCTGAGTTCCTGATACAGGCTGGAAACTCTCTGTGTTAAGGTCCGTTTTCTTATTTATTAAGAAAACTTATTTGTGGCAAGATTGGTGCAAAATACCATTTACATACTCTGCATGGTGGTTTTTTTTTTTTTCCTGGTAAATAATAGCTTACATGAAAAGAGTGGCCACTCCTCAGCTTTTTTTGCATATGTCTGCCTGTTTTTCAGCCCTTCTGTTGTGACATATAATATCAGTTTACTTATTCCCAAGGAGGAAGCCTGGCAGTGAAATGTCAGCCCTCACTGAAAAACTGCAGATCCACTCGCAGTTTTGGAGGTGCTGAAACAAAATCAGGTATATTTGTAAGTGATTAGAGAAATACATTAAAGAAGTATGCAATGTGTACATTCAGCAGATGTTAACGTAGGAATACTTCTGTGCTCTGCTGCAATGAACATAAATTTTTGAATACCTTGCTAAATGTAGCAACTCTAGCTTTGATCAATGCAATTGAGAGCAGCATTTGATTAGACATATAAAATACCTATAGCACGTAATATGAGCTAAAGGCAAACACATTAAATCAAATATTTGCATAGATGTCTACATGTAACCCCAATCCTCAAATTTCATTTCAAAAATACCAGTATAATAGATGTGAAACAGTGTTGAAGATATTATAGAAAGAATTACAAATTGGAATCTGCTGTAGTCATCTAGCTTTTTGGTTAGATTGCTGAGTTGTTTTAACTTTTTTCCCTTCTCCTCCCCCTCCCTTCTCTCTTTTGTGTAGTACAAACAAAATCCAGAAATGTTTAAACAGACAGCTCGACTTTGGGCACATGTGTATGCTGGAGCACCAGTTTCTAGTCCAGAATACACCAAAAAAATAGAAAACCTTTGTGCTATGGGCTTTGATAGGGTAAGTACATGTAACTTAAATATTTTCCGGTAGGGGCAGGGCAAATATTTATGTATAAATAAAGGGAGGTTGTTAGTGTACTAAAGTGGACTCATGACTTCCATAACCTTTTGCAGATCTAATAATTCTATTCTGCTCATTGTTTTTATGAATTGAAGTTTTGAGATACTGCATTATTAGTAAATTTTGTAATATGAGTTGCCCTCTGCTTCTTTGACACAATAATTTGTAATTCTATAAATCATCAGTTAAGATTTAATAAATGGTAATGTAATGGTTTCGATAAGTCTGTGCACTTTACATTCCACTTCTCGGAGCTGCACGTTCACACACTGAAAATATTATTGCTTTTTGTTTTCTCTTTGCAGAATGCAGTAATAGTGGCCTTGTCTTCAAAATCATGGGATGTAGAGACTGCAACAGAATTACTTCTGAGTAACTGAGCCATGTAGAGAGAGCTGCTTCAGTAGTCCAGCTTGCCCCTTCTGGAGGAGCATCACCATCTGTTATTTTTAGGATTCTATATAGATTCTCTTTTAAAACTGGCGCTCTTGCCTGATGATGCTATCTAGGCACTATTGGAGACTGAAAAACCGCTCTGTAAATAAAGCTAATTAAACGTCTGTGTAAATTTAAAAAGGGGAAATACTTTAATTTTTTTCTTACTAAATATTGTAAAAATTCTTTGAGCTCAGCTAAAACAACGGGGGAAAAACATGCCTACTTTAGTGTTTAGCAGTGTGACAAAGACTAGCAGGAACTTGCTTCAGGATTTTGATTTAGTAATTCAGAAAGCAACATTTTTTGAGTGTTAGTCATCAAAATTGTTGGTGCCACTCATCACAGCTATCTTACTGTTTCTAACATGGATCCTATGTGCCTGTGGATTGACCTATATTTGCATGCTTGTACTTAATAGACGTATTAGGTAGGGTCGCTGAAGAGAGCACCGTTTAAATACTCAAGTATTCTTGTGACTTTTTTCCTGAAAGACTTTCAAGATTTACCCAAAGTTCAAAATGGTGACCTATTCAGAACCTTTTTCTTCCTAGTTTATTAATTGGGAAACCTGATTCTCCTCTCCCTTGCATCATACATTGCATCGCAGAACTAAAAAACCTCACTGGATTATTTTCCATCGTCTGTGGGTGTGTGTGCCATTTTCAGTAGTGTAGGCTCCACTTTTAAAAAATATATTTTGAATTACTGTAATGGTTTTCAGCCATCATGTTTTCTACACAAACTCCTAAAGGTTTAGTGTGCTTGGACGTAGCACAAAAAGGTGGAGCTGGCTTTTTTTTTTTTTTTTTTTTTTTGTCTTAAACAAATGTAAAGTGTGCTTTCAGTACATTCTGGATAATAATGATTTCACTGGATTTGAAGGAGGAAAAAACTGATTCTCTAGCATATTGAGAATGAATTTCTTTTTTTCTTTTGAGTACTTGATGTGATGCAATCAGCTGTGTTTTGCAGCGGTTTTCTAGCTTTATTTTGGGCTTCAGTTTAAGGATTGCTTACCAGGTACTTCAAAATTCATCCTTGCTTGCATTTTTCTCTAGTTGACACATGGAGGCTGTGTTGGTGTTTTTACTGTACATACTTCAAATGCACATAGAAGTAGAAGTGTGTTCTCAATTTAGCTTTCTTTTGGATTGATGTTTCTGATAAACGAGAACTGAAATCTTATCTTGGCTTGTACATACAGTCAGTCTTTTTATTCGTATTAAAATGACATTTCATCCTGAGTGCAAAAGCTTGAAAATTATTAGTTTTGCAACTTCAAACACTAGTACATCTATTTAAAGAGAACTGTAATGTCTTTATGAATATGATGCTAACTTTTGAAAATATATCTGACAAAGTTCAGAGAAAAACTGAGAACAGAGACTGGGGATTGTTGATAATGGAGTACTGTATAAGTCATCTTTTTCATGACTATTTCTTCTCCTAAACAATAGATTAATTGAGCAGATTGGGGAAATGTATGTCTGGGTTTTTTTGCTTGAACTGTGAAGTACAACTCGAAATAGTTTCACGCTTCATAGACAGACAGTTTGTAAACGATACTAGGAGAAATCGGGAACGTTGCTGAATCTGTTAAATATCTGGAGCGTAGTCATAGGGGAACAAAACCAGAAAACAGAGCTGTAGAGCCCTAACTAGTTCAGGATTGCTCCCTGTACTGTTCTGTCTGAGCTGTCCAAAGTTAAAATATCATGGGACACAGACAGTAAATACTTTTAATTCATATCAGTGCAATACTAAATGCATTTCCTTAGTCTTAATGCTTACTGCTTTTTAAGGTGTAGTCAGTGATCGCTTTTCTTGGATTTTTCTCAAGTTAATATAAATCATTGTCAAAGATGCCAAAGGAAACGAATTGTTTTGTCTTTCATTATATTTATTTATTTTTTTTAAACAGGAAGCTGCTACTGTTCAGCTGGTTTGCTAGGTGGAAACCAGGGACAGTAGGAAACTATTGCAAAATGCTACTTGTGTTAATCTCAAGTTGCCGTCTTTTCTGTTGTACAGGCTAAGAACTTCTCGATTACATCAACACTTTTTTTTTTTTTTTTTTTACCCTGGTGGTAATTATAAATGACTGACTACTTTCCCTTGTTCTTCGCTGCTATTTATCAAAAGAAAGAACTTGGAAATCATTGTCGGGGACATAACACTTCAGTTATGGGCTTTTGGACGTGTCATTTGATAAGAGTAGTTTCCTAAGAACATCAACTGTAAGCACATGTCTGATGATAACCAGAGCAGATTTTTCCAGCTGTATATCTAGGGATAGGGTAAGGAAGACAAAGTTGTAGGGGAGGAAATGGTTATGTGGTGATCATGATCACCACTGAAACAATGCCCTGCTAAGAGACTGATTTCTCTCATGAGGTTACCTCCTTTTCTTCTCTACTGGAAAGTGCTAGTCTTCCTCTTCCCCTTATGTATGGATATCAGATGCTGTTTTTTCCCCCCCTCCAAACATGTGCTTAATAGCAAAAGGTATCTTGATTGCTAGCTCACATGCTGACGGGAGGGAACCTCTCAAGAGCAGGGCTGGGAAGAAAGGATGACCCAGCATTAAGGAGACCTCTGTGATCTGAAGTCCCTATGCATTTTGACAAGTGAGTCCTTTATAAGGAATGTTTTTGTATTCTTGGTAATTATCAGAGTTGAATATAGGGATAATGTTGTATGAGGTTAGTTTAACTGCAGCTGGGGCTGAGCCCTGGGAATTTTACTGTTAGTGTTCGGTTTAACATTATGAATTTGTACATACAAAATCGTAGTTCTGTTTTCTATATGACTGAACTTCACTATATTCAGGGCCCTGTGCATTCACCAGTGTGGGGTTGACATGCAGTCTGCTCCTGTTGCAGACTCATGCTGCTTGTTTACCGCTTACTTAAAACAAGAACACAAAACACGGGTACAGTTGCTTTCGAAGCACAAATAAATCCTGTGTTGTCTTCCTCTGCTGTGTAACAAGACAGCTTGAAACAGTAATTTTGAAGTCTGAATGGCCCCATTTATCTTAACAGGTTATTGATAATGGAGCTTAAAGACTGCCAGAGCATCAAACAGATTTCAGTGCTGAGCGTTTTAACGTGCATCTAGCTTAAGCGGTTTCTCTCTTGTTTGTTAGTATTGTTGCTGGGGAACAAGAAACTCCTATTGCATCCAATTCCTCACAAATTTAAAGTGTCATCTTTCTCAAAGGTAAAGAGATGTCCTTTCCTGGGTGCCAAAACCCTCAGTTTTCCCACGGGTGCCAGAAGTCCTGACTGTATCCCACCCCCACTTGCCAAATTCACAGCTCCCTCCCATTGCTTCTGTGAACAAGCTGTGTTTCCCAGACAAAATGGTACATTTCAGAGACAAAAACTTAAGAACAAATCCTTCCAGAAAGATGCTGCACTTGATGCTATTCATTCTACATATTCCAAACTTTCCATTTAAAAAAAAAAAAAAGAAAAATGCAACTTTCAAGTTCTCAGCACCACAATTCTGCACGCGTGAGCGGCTTTCCAACAGAGCTCACATCAGCTTGCCACAGAGTACATGGGGCCTTGACTATAGTTGGTTCAGTAGTATTTATTTGAGGAATTAGATACTAATGAATAAGTCGATCTTTTTTTTTTTTTCTTTTTATTATCATTGTATTCTTTTCCAAGTAAATTACTACTGGAACACTGGCCTAAGGAATGTAGGCTATTTTTGTCTGAAAGGACAAAATAAATGGCCAGGAAGGAACTTACCTTGTAATGCTGAATCTACGTTATGTGGTGTGGGAAACAGAAACATTTATACTATGCAAATTTAAGCTTACCAGCTGTGAATCAGACTTGGCACTTCAGAGCATATGGATTTAATGGGGTGGAGGGAGCGGAAAAGGGAGAGGATGGGGGGGAAAAAAAAACAAACCTGACCTGGAGTTTTAAGCAAGAGTTCTTGTTCATGGCTTTGGTCATACACTGTTAATGCAAGTGTTTCGTTTTTAGAGCAAGGGCAAATGTAACCGTGTGCGTGTCCGTTGTTTCCTTCCTAAAAGGCAACAAAGGCTAGCTTGTATTTGGAGGCTTGCCCAAAAGGGAGAACGTTAAGTAATTTAGCAGTGAAAGTTAGTTTTGTTTAATGCCTGTTCGTGAGCAGACACAGCAAGAAGATGCAATGCCCTCTCCTGCTATATTTGATTAATAGTAAAGGTTGACGAGCAGCGTCCTGATGAGTATAGCCACCGATTTGTGGTCGGGCGAATTGCTTTGTAGGACTTGGTGGGCAGCTGGCTAAGCAGTGGATCTGGAAAACACAATTCATCCTGCCTGCTGTTGCATCGCGGAACTAAAGCGTGAAAGTAAAGCTGTTCACTGAGTGCCAAAAGGAAGACTCTGTAGATGTTTTACTGTCAATGTCTTCGTTTTCCAGGCACAGCTTTTCTTATGGCTAGATAAAGGGGCAATTGCTTCTTATTTCTTGTTAGATTTCCAATCTGTAGTCGAAATACATCAGTAAAACCATGTAGCTTGCTCTTTCTGTTTGTGCTGTTTCTGATCCACCACCGGGTGAGTCATCGTTAGACTCACAAGACCAACTGTCCTTAACACATTTTGCTTCTTGCTCGGTTATTTCAGCTGCAGATATCGTAGTTAGCAACTCTGCCTTTCAGATTTGTTCTTACTGGACAAACTCTTGCAAATCATTTGTACTGTGATGTGATGTTCCTTCTCTGCTGTTACCTGCTTTGTAGGCATCAAAACAGCTACCGATTGCTTACGATGCTGAGCCATTCATTGATAATGTAAGTTAAGATATATAATTCAACAGATGAGGAAATGTACTATGAAAATGCTGTACTTGTCCATTTTCCGATTTGTGGCAACTGCTGGTGCTCTGTTGTGTCTGAAGGAGGCTGCCATCATAGGAATGCTGATGTCAACTGTTGAAGAACCCTGCTTTTCATTTACCTTCTCCATCCTAAATTCTGACTTTTCTATTAAAAAATGATTAAAAAATAAAGGATATTGCAGGAGGTTTGTTCCTGAGCATCGGACTTCCTATAAAGGGTGAGTGGGTGGGCTGGAATGCAGCATCAGTGTTTTTTGTCTTGAAAATAAAAACTACACAAACACTTTTGTACACAAATGATTTTTTAAATAAATACACATTTTAAAAGATGTTGATTTTCACTGGGAATGCTTAACAATAAATGCATGTTTCCCTGAAAACAGTTTTCATTTTATTTCTGGTAATTCAAATTCTTCTGAGATTCACCTGGAGGCAACATACCTTGTGAAAGTTATCTTCCTTTCCCTCTTGTTTTTATAATGCATGTTGAAAATATTGAAGAAAATAATCCATGTAATGAAGTGAAAATGTATATTATTTCAACTCAGACCACCTAATGTGATAGGGTAAGAAATATATGTACTATTTCCTTTACCAAAAAAAAAAAAAAAAAAAAGTCTACCATGGCTGGATCTGAAGAAACAGAGTAGGTAACTTACCGAGGAAAAGATTTTATTTGGATTTTTCAGCGTCGTTCAGGCTCATCTTGACTTTGTAGTTTAAAATGCACATACTTTATATAAACTACAGTCAGCTCTTGCACAGAGACGTGCCAGGTGCTGTGTTATGTAATAAGGAGGGGTCGCGCTGCTCCGTTTCTCAGCTGCAGGAGGAAGCAGGTAGAGATTGTGACTGTGGATTTGTTTGCCACCCCTACATACAAAGCTAACTCTTTAAGTGTCATTTGGTCTGTGTATGTTAAATGGAGTAAAGCAGTGAAAAAGATGGCTTCTGCATAGCTAAAGCTAGGAGGAGGAAGCCGAGACGCGAAGCTTGTTGCAGTACTGGTTTCAAATCTATGTCGTGTCTTCAGGCTTGTGTTGGCTGCTGAGCAGGTGGTGCCAGCTTCCACGCCGGCTGTACTGCACGCCGTAGCATGACTGCGCCCTTCCGCAGCGTGTAAAATAAAGCAGCGGTCGGAGGGGGATTCGTGTGCGGTACCATGCGCTGGGTTGCGTGGTGGCGCCTCGCTCTCCAAAGCGGTGAGGGAGCAAGCGTGCTCCCCGACCTCTCTGCTGAGGCGGGGGCCTCCTTCTCTTAGCCTGTCCGTTTCCCTTTTCTTTCCTTCTCAAAATTATTACCTTGTCCTTGTAGTTAGAGTCTAATAGGACACGAGTAACTGAGGGCTGGCTTGCGCAGCAGTACTACGTGAAGTTGTCCTACGGCCTCGCAACGTCTTCCAGCAGCCGGAAGCTGGAAGTGAGTTTACAGATGAAATGAGCTAGTGCCTCTTGCTGTCCGTGCTCCCCTTGTGTTGAACTCTGCATTTCAGTAGCTGTGATGCTTGCTGGCAAATTTAGCTCTGAGCCAGGTACCTTTGGTAATGCCAATATAGCAAATTCAGGATTTAAAATTGTTTGAAGGTCAAGTCTGGGTCTGGGGCCTGGAGCACCAGTGTCTGCTATAATGTCAAATAAATTACATTGCTTCACTTAGTGGCTGTTTTGTGTTGAAATATGTAAGTTCTTTAGTGAAAAAGAGGTATAACATTCTTCCAGTGTAAAATAAGTGGTAATCAGCTGACATCGAGAGGAAAAATTACCAGCCTGCTGTTCCGGGAGGGGGGGAGAGATGAGCTGTTTTGTGCCGGTTATTTGAGCCACCTGGGATAGCGCAGACCCTTTAGCAACGTGGGTTCCCGGTGCGTCTTCTCAGCGTACAGCCCTCTTCGCTGAAAACTGTGGGGCCGAGCAATGACTCGCTGCAGTTCTCCTCCTCCAGTTCTCGCACGCAGGGGTAGGCGGTGCCCCCTTTCCTCTGCCCTCATAGCTTCCTGCATCTTTCCTGAAAAATAACTGTTCTCACAGCTAGCAGGTTAAGGGGGAAGTTATTGCAGGTATGTACAGGATTAAAAATATGATAGGCAGCGAGTAATTGAGCCTCTTGCTGGTCCTGTCGGAGAGGGTTAGGAAGTTGCCTGCACCTAGCCAGGGAGGTGGAGGGCGAGCTAACTGCGATTAACCTTTTTGTTAACGGAGGAAGAAGTAGTGCTGGAAACTGCGTCGTTGCTGTAGGCTTTCGTTTCCTAAACGCAAGGCAGAAGAACGCGGTACGGAGGAGGGCCCAACCGTTCCTGGAAGCGGTAGCCAACGCTTCTTTAAACTGCTGCGAGAAGGTGTGTTGAATGTGGTGTGGCTTCCAAGTGTAGAAAGTGAGTTGAATGATCAGAAGTTGTCAGTTTAAAGGGAATGAAGAAAAAAAAAAGCTTATGGCCTTTCCTGTTAAAGGGGCAAACATTAAGAAATGAAACCTGTGCATTAACTTTATAGAGGAAAATTACCAGTTTGGGGGGGGGGGGTCCTGTTTTTTTTGCCAGTTCTACTTTGTTTCGCACATTGAAGTCCTTAAACCACATCAAAAACGCCAGGAGTCATCTGGCTCTGGGCTGTGCTTGTAAGAAAAGAGAGCTATTTAGAGGTAGATACGTAGGTACAAAATAATGACCAAAAGTTCACCAAAAGACCATACAGCGGGGGTGGGGGGACACACAACAACAACAACAACAGCAACAGCAACAACGGTTCTTAAGCACAAACAAGGAAAGAATTGCTCTTCTCGTTGTTACTTTGCCATTCTCCTCATCTGTGAATGGTCCCAAATCTAAACTGAACAGAGTTCAACTAACATTGGAACAAGGTGGAAGCAAACCTTAGGCTGAAACCTTCTCACAGACCACTTAAGCTAGACTTGGGGTGTGAACTGAAAGATGTGGGATTTGCCAAAGCAAAAAGTGCAACTCCCTGGAAAAGCCGACTGGATGAAAACAAAGCTGGCATTCCTAGGGCTCTGTCAGGGCAGTAAAAGCCGAAAGCCATGCAAGGTCCCTTGTGATCGTGCTTGTCAATTCTTATACTCCTTAAGAATGACACTTTTCTAACAAATTTGTTCCCACCAAATTTGCATCTAAGTCACTACTGGTCGTAGAGTAGCAACTTGTTATTTTCACCTTTCTGTGGACATGCCGACTTCTTACTTTTTGACTGCTTTAAAATCAGGCAGGTCGTGGCAACTTCTCTATAATAAACTGCCAGCATTTTGTCTGTTTGTCCATTGCTTCTCTTGTACGGACAGCTCTGAAACCAGGTCAAGCTGACAGTGCAATAATACATAAAAAGCAATCTAGCTTATACCTAGAAATAAAATTTGTTGTTGCCAGAGCATCAGATCCCCCATCCCAGGATTATGGGGGCAGAGGGGTGGACGTACTTCCAGAAATCATCGTTCTGTAAGAAGCTCTGTGTATGGGCCCGTTAATGGGGGAATGGAGAGGGATTTCCAATCACAAGCTTTCAAGCTTTCTCCCTTAGCAAAATAGTTATTCCCCCCCAATACGTTTGTGCTAGTTCATAACAGCAAAAGGCTGATGTGCTGCAGTCCTCAACCCCGTGACCTTGGCTGAGCTAAAA